AATTACTGATTAGAACGAATAACAAGGCTCATAGTAACTACTAATAGTTATACTTCAGCGAGCGGATTGCATGCTAATTGAAAGGGAAACGTACATCGGTAGGCATTTCGGTGCAGGTAATGGGAACGAAATTGCTCTTTTACTGAGCGATTCTGCGCTGCATTGGCCGACTACACATTGCGTCTATATCTACAGATTTATGTATTGTATGGGCGTAATGGCGCGGACCACACCCCTGCTGCAAATAGAAGCCTGTGCTAAGTAGTGCACGATCCCAAGCCTTGCTCTATCTGCTACGATTCGATCACTACAGCGCCGTATGAGCAGCCCACTATTGAAAAAACTCCGTTAAATTATGGAGCGCGCCTGGAAGCCAGGCCAGCTCGGCGAAGCCGAGCTAAAGAGAAGGAGGAGAGCTTATTGTCAGCCGGGCGATCCGACTGGTAACATCTTAAAGACGGAAACGATGGCCACTGATCGGCTTACGGGGGGAGGGGGCATTTTGCACGTGGTCTAGTTCCTTCTGCTAGTTCATGTTAGCTTACAAGTGTTCCCTTAATAAGACTTGTAAACTTTGGTGAGGCTGGTATGATATGGTATAAATGGAATACTTTGGCTACAGGAATTTACACAGCTTCAGAAGGTGGCCTGCAAGCTTCTGTACCATTTGGTGCCCCCATGAAACCGAACTGCGCCGAACTGCCTAATGGATAAGAGCCGTTTGTGCTGAAAAACAGGAACTTGCATACATTTTTCCTGGCATCTTACAGCATTTTCCTCACTTTGGAATTCCTTGGTTTTTTCATTCCGGTAATATATTTTTTTCTTCGATAATCATGAAGCGCTCGTGTTTTTTGAAAGAATTGAACCGCTCTCATTTGTACTATTTAGAGACATATGACACGGTAATATGACACCCTGTCTAAAATGGTTGCAGGAGTGCTACATAGCAGGGAAAATGCGGGGAAAGAACGAAAAGCGAATTTAAATTGTCGAAAACCTGCGAGGTTAAACGGTCAGAAGCCTCTGTTCTGCTCGGCATTGGGCGATCACTTTTCGACGAGTTTTCCGTTGGCATCGTGCCAACAAGCGTTCCGCTAGGTACACCTGCTGCATGTGTGTATTCATATTTCTATGCAGCACCGCAGCCGCTTCATATCCAGCCATTTGTGGGCGTTCGATGCGGTGGGCGTCTGTGCCGCCCTATTGCCCTTTGATTAGGCGCTGTAACGGCACTCTTGGTTGGAAAAGGCGCCACGTAGTGCCTGCTCAGGGTCACAATATTCTTTCGTGCTAGGCGTATTTATCCTGTACGCCTTGTCGATTTACCGTGCCACTTGCCTTTAAGGGTAAACCAATGACTTGGTGTGTCAATTTGTCGGTTTGTCAGTTAGTCAGACTGTGTGGTTTCGCTACCTAACTGCGATATGCCTAGTGACTGTGACAAGATAAATGATAAGAGAAAGCGACCGCTAACAAAACTGGGAAGGTGAGGCAATACCGATCTGACGTTGTGTTATGATTGTGACAACATTTTTTACTGGATAAGTCCCTCGTTTAGCGGTTGAGGTGCTCGGCAAGGTAGAAGAGTTGCACTTTTAGGTGAGCACGTGTAAAAACGCCTAGCGTACGCAGGAAAAGGGTAATTAGGTGGTTACCAGGACACTGGTGCTGCCAGGACATTGGTACTCTAAAATGTGGTAATGAAATAGGTGAAGGTATGGATGGACAAGTGTCGCTAGAAGTCGCAAACAAGTTCCCCAACCGTGTCAAGTAGAACCCCAGAGTTGACGCTGATTATAAAGTGACCCTGTTCCGAGAACCGCGATTATTTGCGGATTCTGGGACAAGGAAGGGCTACCAAGCGAGTTCGGAGATTGGGAAATTTCACAAGAATGGATAGCGTCGCATTTCAAGATTACACAGCAGCTGTATAGCCCAATGTTTTCGACAGGTCCACTTCGCGACACGCCATGCATCCTGGTTTCATTCAGAATTGTGGTAGGGTTGGATGGTTCATAGGATGATTCACGATCCAACCCCTACCACAATTCCCGAATGTAAACCATTGAATTCACGATAGCAGATTGGTGTCAGTAAAAGGACATTATTCTTTTGGCTTTGTCTGAAATGGTCGTGGGTGGAGATCGGTCAATTGTGAGCAAGGCACGTTCTGCCATTAGGGAAAAATTTTGCAAAATACGACCACTCTCGGAATTTCCTCCTCTGATACGACCCTACCCCTTCCCCCTTCCCCATCTCAAATCATATTTACCATCTTCCTGAAATTTCTCACCTCGCTGCAACTTTTTCGAAGTCCTTTCCTAAAGTTCCTCCACTTTTTTTTCGAAAAGCTGGCGAATCAACCGTCGAGCGGGAAAGGGGCCGTATAACGATTTTGACGCAGGAAAATCCCGAGAAGAACCAACAACTGGGAACGTTTCTCACAAAAGCTAGTACGTCCTCTCCCTCTCTCACCAGCGACCAATACGATCCCTCTCGCTGGGAATCCCCTGATTGTGAGAGGCCTCAGATAAAGGCAGCAGCTTGTACGCCCGGCTTATCTGGTCAGAAAAAAATGGGCAGAGCTCTCGGCCCTTGTTCGTTCCTGTTCAACCTTTGATTCTGTTCTGTATACGCTTTGCCTAGCCGCACCAGGGCAGGATCAACCAGACATCGTTCAGGTTCAGTGCTCTTTATTGACTAACATTTTTATCTTGGCATAGTTGTAATGATCGCAGCTTACCGTGTTCTTATCAAGTTATCAGCCTTGAGAACTTGTTATTGCCGCCATCTTTTGTAATCACCCTAGTATTATATCACGTCCCAGCACCTACAACAGTGTGGTGACCAGCTGTTCTTATTACGCTTCGTACTACACCTGCCAGACCCCTTGTTTCCTCCCTGGCTATCTGCTTCTTCATGCTACTATCTTTCTCCTTTCACTTCACCTTTGCTCATTTCGGTTATCTCCCTCTCTAGTCATTCAGGCGACAGAAAGCGATTGTAAGTTACAGTCGG